GTGTCCCGCCCCGGGTCGCCGGGCTGCAGAGACCCGCACGCGCGGAGCGGACGGGATGGACGGGAACGCTGAGATGGGTTGGAACTGGCCTTCGCTAGGGATACGAGTGGGAAATGCATCTTTCCCTGAACTTGACCACTGGCACCATCAAAGAGGGAGGTGCTAACTATTCTTAACGAATATTCGTGAAGAGAGACCTTGCGGAACGCTTTCCTGCTTGAACTTTATCACGAAAGCAACAGCGAAACGTCTATGCAAACAGACTCCATTGGAGACTCCCTGTCCCGGCCGCAGCGGTTTAGTTCATCTGATCCGGATACTGCGGGCGCCGGTGAGGGTCTGTGTGTCCCGCAGCCTGGCCTGGCCGCTTCCTCCGGATTGGGGTTGATGCTGTGCAGTCCCAGCAGGGGTGGTGGGACCCGGACAGGGATGAGCCCGGAGAGAGGATGTTAGGGCAGGTCGGAAAAAACAGAGTTCCTGCCAGGCTTTCTAGTCTCTCCCCTGTCTGGAGCTGAGCGCTTTCAGCTCCGCCCTACTCCTGACCCCTCAGCCCTTTCGCTGCGGTTTTTATCCATTTGAACTGGTGGGAGCCTTTCGAAGCTCTTCGTGAGCTTGAGCGGAGCAGACCCCAGGCCCCGTGAGCACGGACAGTGTGTGGCTGTGGGAGGTTGGCCCTGCTCTCCCAACCCCACCAGACCCAGAACCAAAGAAGCCAGTTTCCTTTTTCCGTTGGAGTTTTGGGCTTCTTCCGGGTTGGAACCATGGACTGAGGGCTGACACCCACTTTTCTGCTGGTTAAAGCCACAGGCCCACCCAGAGAAGGTCCCCCGGGGATTCTAGATGCCCTTTCAAAGCAGCTGGTAGAGTGGTGGTTACAAAGAGCCCTTCTACCGCCCAGCCTCCTGGTTAGCTTACCCAGGACTCATTAGGGAGCCATGACTTAGTGAGCCTCTTCGCCTTAAAAAATATTTAAAATTGTATTTTTACATGGTTGGCATAAAGACAAATGTATGAATATACACAACTAAACATTTTCTTCAGTTTGAAAGTTCATATTGTCCCTCAGATTGCTAAAGGGATGAAAACACTTTTTTTTTTCGTGTGTGTGCCTCTAAAGATTTTTTTTGGTAAACCCTAGACGCTGTTCCTAGATGCTCTTGGGACACGGATAGAGCGCGGTTTCTGTTGCAGACTCAGGGCCAGAGATAGGAGAAGAACCTGGTTTGGGGAGCCTTATAGGATTGAGGCTGCCTGCTCCCAGGGAAAGGGCCGGCAAAGGGACTTGGGTGACAAATGCCTCCCATAAGCTGATCCCCACTCTCTACTCGCACTTAGGCTTTCAGAGGTTACAGTCCATTTTGCAGGACAGACACAGATTCCTTCCTACTTAACCACACAGCCCCTGGCTGTCCATAATCTGTCCATAGCACGATCAATTTTCATCCCCCACCCCCGGTATCTCACCCAGCCCTTTCCTTTCTGACCTAGGAAAGGAAGGGACTGGATGTGAGAGTCCCAGCATTTTTTCCTCACAAGCTTTCTAATTTGTAACATTAAAAACTTCACCAGGAACACTAGTATTTTGAGTATATTATGAATGAAGAGGTGCATAAAGGCAGCTGCACATTTAGTGACATTTACAATTAATCTATATTTTATTAATACTGCAACATCCAGGTGCACTTAGAAACTGGAGTCACACTATATATACTCAGTCCACAGACCGTGTGTGTGTGTGTGTGTGTGTGTGTGTGTGTGTGTGTGTGAGAGAGAGCGAGAGAGAGAGAGAGAGAATGAGAATGTGAGTCTGGATCTTGGGCCTCTTGCAACAACTTTGTGGCCTCAGCCCCAGGCTGGGAACTGCAGACCAGCTCCAAATCCAGAGTTCCTAACACTTTTCAAGTTGCCCTTCTAAGCAACAGCCAAAGATATTGCTCAGTGATGGTCAGAACAGTTATAGGCTTTCATCCCAGTGGCAGAACACCTTTACTAATCCTCCCCCTCTCACCCCCTTTGAGGGCCTGGTGAGCAGAGCCAGCCAACATGGGCACAGGCACCGGCGGACGGAGGGTGGCCATACACACAGTTCTCCTCCTTCCTGTGCAGAGGACTCCGGAGGGAGATGTGCCCCTTTCCTTTCAGGCTGAGCAGGCCTGTCCTCCAGGCTAGTGCCGGGGACTTCAGCAAACGTCACAGTCCTGGGGGGACTTGTCAACGTTGTGGAGCCTGAGTTCACCTAGGAGGTAGCAGCCTGGGGGGCCAGCAGTGACCTTCAGAAAACCTGCAGCTGGAGGGATGTGCCATGCACTTGGGAAGACTGAAGAAAGCCTTTTACAAAACAACACACAAGTGAGGGAGGACGAATAGGAAGCACAAGCGAAACCAGCATTTTAGTCCCAGTGGTGCCCATGTGTGTGATGCTTTTAAAAGAGGGAGTTTTGAGTTGGGTAGTATCACAATATATTTTCTAGTGAGCAAAACGGAGACCCAGGGAAGATTGCTTCTGTATAGAGTCAGGGGTTGTGCAGGTGCCGCCTGCCAGGGTCAAGGGATGAGTGGGCACGTGTGTGTGTGTGTGTGTGCGCGTGTGTGTGTGTGTACATGTCTGCATGCATATGTGCCTGTTGCGGGCAGATGCTTGCATTCTGGCTACGGTTGGGTCGTCAGACAACAGGGTCCTATTTGACCTTCAGATGTAAGGGATAATTATGTTACCTTAAGTGAGATCCTAGCGTTTAATTATTTCTGTGAAACTGTTAACTCTACCTGGGCCCCCTCATGGGGAGGCCTGTGAGGTTTATGCCATAAGTAACCATTACACTATTACTCCCGGAGAAACAGCAGTAATCAACGAAGGCATAGAATCTTCACTGAAATGCACAAATACTTAGAATCGGCTCTCCAAGGCTTTAATGAACCCGTCAGTGGTGTAGTCCTTTTATATTGTTATCCTGTGGCTGACACTGGCCTTTTGCTGTGAGTCCCACATTCTTTCCATGTTTGTGTTGTTGGATGGTTATTATTTGGGAGGTGATGTGAATGTGTGTGTCGTTGGCATGAAGTGGTGGTGCCGCGCGCAGGCGGGGGAGGATGGTTTGGCGCCACTGTGTGCGCAGGATCTGGGCTGGGAAGAGGGTGCCTTCGCGTCCTCGGCCCGCGGATGGGATGGGGGACGCTGTGTGCCTCGTGCTTGGAGGCACCAGTCTGAGGCCGGTGCACTGGCCGCAGCTACTGACAGGAGCCTTTTCTGACTTGCGCGAGCAGGAAAGTCGTGGAAGGCGCTGACCCTGTCGCAGAAGAGGCCCTACGTGGACGAGGCGGAGCGGCTGCGCCTGCAGCACATGCAGGACTACCCCAACTACAAGTACCGGCCGCGCAGGAAGAAGCAGGCCAAGCGCCTCTGCAAGCGCGTGGACCCCGGCTTCCTCCTGAGCAACCTGTCCCGGGACCAGAACGCCCTGCCCGAGAAGCGGGGCGGCAGCCGGGGGGCGCTGGGGGACAAAGAGGACAGGGGTGAGGGCTCCCACGGACACGTACCCCTACGGGCTGCCCACGCCCCCGGAAATGTCACCCTTGGACGTGCTGGAGCCGGAGCAGACCTTCTTCTCCTCCCCCTGCCAGGAGGAGCATGCGCACTCTCACCGCATCCCGCACCTGCCCCGGCCCCCTTACTCCCCGGAGTACGCCCCCAGCCCTCTGCACTGCCGCCACCCCCTGGGCTCCCTGGCCCTCGGCCAGTCCCCGGGCGTCTCTATGATGTCCACTGTCCCGGGCTGTCCCCCGTCCCCTGCCTATTACTCCCCCGCCACCTACCACTCTCTCCACTCCAACCTGCACGCCCACCTGGGCCAGCTCTCCCCGCCTCCCGAGCACCCCGGCTTTGACGCGCTGGATCAGCTGAGCCAGGTGGAACTCCTGGGGGACATGGATCGCAATGAGTTTGACCAGTATTTGAACACTCCTGGCCACCCAGACTCTGCTGCAGGGGCCGTGGCCCTCAGTGGGCACACCCCCGGCTCTCAGATGACACCCACGGGCCCCACAGAGACCAGCCTCATCTCGGTGCTGGCTGATGCGACGGCCACGTACTACAACAGCTACAGCGTCTCATAGAGCCGGAGGCCCGCCCAGCCCTGCCTCCGCCCAGCCCTGCCTCCGCGCCTGGGCACGGAGCATACGGACCTGCGACCTGCACATCTGCACCCAGGGACCCTCAGCGAACCGGCTCTGCAGATCCCAGTACCCTCTCCATCCCCTTCCTTCCCGGCCCCAATCCCCTCCGCCTGCATTTTGAGTATATTCCTTCAAATGCGTTGTCATTGGCTACACCTGGGAATAAGACCAGAGAGTTTTTGAAAGACACGGGTTCCAGGTAGAATTTTCACGGACCTCTCCTCCCGGTTCCCATCTCAGATATAACTGTAAAAAGCCCAGCAGCATTCTCACCTGGGAGCCGTGGGCTGGGATCCAGATACCCAGGATCCGCAGAGGTTCTGGTGATACCCTGACTGGCCTCTCCTTCCCTTCCAGCCTGCTCCCCACGTCCATCTGCAAAGTGGGGGACAGATTTAACACCCAAGGTCCCTTCTGCTCCAGGGTTTTCTGATTTAGGATTCTCTCACGGCTACAAGGAAAATAAAGGTGGCCCCAGGAAGCTCATTGAGGTGTAATCTGGGATAATTTCATGTGCACAGCCCAAGGACACAGGGCTTTCTGCACTTGCACTGCCTTCCAAAATGATCCTACTTGTCAATTTTCCTTCCAATTTGAGGGAAAAACACACACACTCATCTTGATTTGGGGAATTAACCACTGAATTACTGAAAATGAGATTGTATTCAAGCTGCATTTTTAAAAATGTATTTTTTAGACAAGTTCTTTTTTTCTTTTGTTACACATTTCAAGAGAATATACACAGCCTGAATATATATAGTCAGGGTGTAAGAGATACACGACATACACACACCTTCATGCACACCCTTACATGCATGCCTGTGTGGCCTAAATCAGATGCTCTTGTTGACACTGGCAACTTTTTGTCCCTCTTCCTATTGACCCAAAGAGCAAGGAACCTAAAAAGAATTTCCTCTGATCTGAATGTGTTGGCTTCTTGAGCAAAATTTCAGCACACCCTCCCCTCTGCAAATGCAAAGGGAGCTTTCTTCCCACTGTCTCCCTCTCCCTCTCTCCCTTTGCTGGGATTTCTTTTGCCCTTTGCTCTTCCTCCACCCTGAATTGGCCACTAATTCAAAGGTCCCCTGACTTGAAAATTCCAAGCTCGATTCCCATGGCTGGGATGGGAATCCCTCCTCCTCACCAGCCCTGCCGGTCCTTTAGGTAACATCTTCAGACAATACTTCAAAAAAGCTTCTCCTCTACACCTTCAGGGTGCTTACTCCCCAAAGAACAGAAGCCCACTGTGATTCAGAAGGTGTTTCTGAGCCCTGACCCCGCCCCCAGAACATTTCTATCCTCTCAGACCTCCTTTGAAGGAACTTACCTAACAGGGAGCGAAAAGGCCATTGTTGGTCTTTTGTTGTCTGCATATTATTGCCTGTATGAAATATATAAGTGTTTTATATATACTCTTATTTTCACCTTATATTTTGTATTGTTGAAAGTTCCTTTTTTTTCCTTCCAAGGAGTCCGATTGTAAAATCACTTATAATACATGATTACTCTTTATGCTATTACTGTATATAATGTTTGGTAATAAATAGTAAACCATTGACAATACGATTGACTGGTGCAGTCCAGAACGTGTATCAATAATCTTGTAAAACACCATCACAGACATTAAGCTAAACTGTTCCTTTTTTTTTTTTTCCCTAAAAACTACACATGGTTTGGAACGGTTGTAGATATTGTTTTGTCTAAGATATTTAATTTAAATAAACCTTTTTGTACCGTGACCATTCTATCATTTGAAATCAAGTTGTGCCAAAAAAGAAATGTTTTCGAGTGAGGCAGAGATAGCATGCCCAGCGCTACTGATAGTATTGGTCCAAATGTTTTCCACATCAACTTTGATTTTTAATTTATAGAAGTTGTTATTTGTAGGGGTGGCTTACTTTATCTTTGAGTTATGGTGGAGAGATAAAGGCTGGTATTATACATTGAAAACAGCGTTGTTATTAATAATAATGAAAGAAAAGAACAATTTATAGCCTGCTGGCAGGACAGTTTTCTCCTTAGGAAGTCTTCATACTTGAAAAACAGAACTGTGTGTTATTTCAAGATAGGAAGTAAGTTTTGCCCAGGTCATTGCTTACTTAAGGCTACCACAGTTTGTTTATTTATTTATGTTGAAGCAGTCTTGAAAAATACCTGGGTTGCCCTCTCCACTATGTATGTACGGATGTGGCAATAACAAAACATGTGGGCTCCCGAAATTGGATGGAATGTTGTGAGAAGGCAGGGGAGCGCACGGATCAGCAATTAAAGGATGTAGCCACTTGTGAGGTTTGGGATTAGAATGCCAGCCAAAAAGTGCCTGGAAAAAACGGAGGATTACTCAGTCCGTGCAGGTCACCCAAGTCTGGCTTCTCTCCGTGGTGAAGCAGTTGTAACTTGTTTGAATCAGGGGTAGTCTTGTGTTCCCCCGGGGCCCTCTGGGCCAAGGAGTGGGTCTTGGGAGAGCCCAATATGTCCCTCCTTCAATTTGGATCATAATCTATAGTCATTATGTTAATAGCACTTTATAGGTGTAGAGAGTTTTACAGCAAGTTTTATGAGCTATTTCTCATCTACAGCCCCAGGTGGGGCCTTGTCATCTATCCACCCCAAGGACACTGAGGTCCAGGTTGGGGAGGTGGTGCTGTGCAGCTCCCCTCCCCCTACTCGGCCAATGGTGGCTGGGGTTTCCCCCTTGTTTTCACATAAGTTTGTTGGTGGCATCAGCCTGACAGTCTCACAGCGAGGGGCTTTGTACTCCACCATGGCATGGAATTACTATCCATGCAGTCCAATGTGTACCTATCCCAGCCCAGGAAAGAACGAGCAAAGAGGAAATCACAGGGCCAGAAATAGACCAATTTGAACTCGCAGCCGCCCAGGCCCACCACGGCTGACAGTGGCGGTTGCAGGGTCACAGTTGGCTGGAGCACTCGCCCAGCAGCATCTGCCTAAGACATCGGCCCTCAACGGTGCCAAAGGGGCGTATTTCATTCCAGGACACACGGTGGGAGAGGGGGTGTGGTCCCTGCCCCTGGGAACGCAGGAAATGAGCAGGCGACAGGGCCACTCTTTCATTTTTGCCTCAGCTCTGAGTGCAACGGTGGTGCCTCGGTGATGAGAGCATTTTTTTGCTTGGCCTGATAAGAATTGATTGATGGGTATAAAGTGTTATAAGTTTTTTTTCTAAAATGTAGATGTTATCATTTCACTCTTTTCCTTAAGATCCTTCAGCGCCTGCTGGCCACTGCGGCACACAGGATGAGTGCGGCGGGGGGCTCATGGGAAGCCGACCAGGGTCAAGCCGCCCCGGCCCCTCAGGTCTGCAGGTTCCTGGGAGGCACCTGGTAATGTAGTCACATGGCCATTTGTTTTTATAAACTTTGTAAAAAAAAAAGATTTCTTGGTATCCTTTCCTTTCAAAGCCTCCTCCCTCCTCCCCCCTCCCCCCCAATTGTACAAGCTTCAGGACCCTACACCTGGCTTGGTCGCATGTGAGTGGCCCTATGGCAGAGCCTCTTTCCAGAAGCCTCTCATGGTCCCTGTCACCCTCCCCCACACGGTGCACCGACTGCACAGAAAGCCTATTGTTCCTGGAAATGCTGTCTTTTCCATGCTTTCGTGTTTTCCCCAAGCTTTTCCCTGACCTGGGAGACCCTCACTTCCATTACCTATCTAATGACATCCTACTCCCTGTCCCAGTCCAGCTCAGATGCCCCTGACCCTGCTGGGAGGGGGGCTGGGAGGGCTTGAGCAGATCTGGGTTACGGCACTTATAGCCCGGCATCTGAACCATTTACCCATCACATGGTAGCAGCGCGACAAGTAAGTGAACAAACGAATAAAGTAGTCATTTGAGACAGCCTGTAGGTATTCTGCCTGGTGGGAAAAACCTGAAATCTTTGGGTTCCTAATTTTCTGGCTCATCTCTCTGGAAACAAAGACTCTAGAGCAATGGTTCTCAACCTTCCTAATGCTGCGACCCTTTAATACAGTTCCTCATGTTGTGGTGACCCCCAATTTCATTGTTACAAATTGAACATAATTAAAGCATAGTGATTAATCATAAAAACAATATGTAATTATATATGTGTTTTCCGATGGTCTTAGGAGACCCCTGTGAAAAGGTCGTTTGACCCCCAAAGGGGTCGCGACCCACAGGTTGAGAACCGCTGCTCTAGAGCCTTTGTGTGTGTAGTTCCCAGGCTCTGAGGCTGGATGTGATGCAGCCACAGCTAATCACCCTCACCTGCTAGAGTGTAGCCCGGAACAGAGAGGTCAGAGGGTGGGCACGAGGGCACCGGAGAGGAATCTTCTCTTCCATCCTTACAGCAGCAGAATAGAGCTGAGGACAGATGATCTGTAACATTTGTAATTGTCGACTTTTTCTTTTTGAGAAGGTTGTGCTCTTGATTTCATCCCAGTGAAAGGGATTTGGATGGAAGGAAGGAAGGAAGGAAAAGAGATAGCTCTATGTATGTATGTATCTATCATGCATCTTTCTATTCATTCACCCATCTCACCCACCCATTTATCTTTCAGCTATTCCATCCATCCATCCTACCTTCTATCTATCCATCATTTTTTGATATTTTAATTCTCAAAAGAGACAGTCTTTGTAGAAAGTTAAAAAAAATAACATCATAGATTAAAGTAAGTCATCTATTAAATAAGTCCACATCTTAAAGACATTACTGGTGATTTTTTTTTTTTGCATCCATCCAATCTTTTTTTGGTCTAGTTCTACATGTACATATGTCTTTTATAATAGACATTTTTTCATTAATATTAGATAAACATTTTCCTATGTCATTAAACACCATTAAAATACCATTTCTGCAAAAGGCATTTTCTTTCCAGTTGAAAAATCACTATGAAAAAAATTTGGAAGGAGATTACCCACTCCATTGATGTAACCATTTTTAACCTACTTATTTTTACATACCAACCTCCCTAGTCTTGCACTGATGTGTTCAGAATTGGATGTGGTGTGCTCACAGTGCCGATATAGATCCATTGGCATTTGTCTTTATAGTGGTCATTGTGACAATGGCACTATACTTCGGTGCATTAACGTAGCTTCATTTGCTTGACCACCCCCTTGCCATTAGATAACTGAATTGTCCCATTTTAGTTCTTTTCATTATAAGTAACACTGCAGTGAACATTGACTTGCTTCTGTTGTTAGCTGGATTCCCAGCAGGGGAATCACTGGGTCTGAGCATATGAACAAATTTCCAAAGTCTCAATTGGTAGTAGAGGCACAAAATGACTTCATTCAATACCCAGAATGAATGAACTCTTTCTTAGCAGGAAGAATGAACCCCCTGAAGACTATTTATAACTGACTTACCTCTGACCAGGTTCAAGTGGCTGTATTCATGGTGGCTTTGTCTTCCTGAAGACCTGTTACATGCTTGCTGCTGGCTTCCACTGGCAAATTGAGAATGTTCCTTCCCTATATATCATGGTGGATGGCACGCCATTCCCTGAGCATCAACTTATCAGTGGGGGAAAGGGTTAGTCTAGTGGTTGGCAAACTGCGGCTCAGCAAACCATGGCTCACGAGCCACATACGGCTCTTTGGCCCCTTAAATGTGGCTCTTCCACAAAATACCGGCTCTTCCACAAAGTACCGACATCTGCACATGGGCCATGAAGTTTCAATTGCACTGTACGTGCGCACCCGCACGTGGTATTTTGTGGAAGAGCCACACTCAAGGGGCCAAAGAGCCACATGTAGCTCGCGAACCGTGGTTTGCCGACCACAGGGTTAGTCTATCAGTTAACAAGGCAAGACCTTTGGTTCCCCAGCATCCCTGGAGCACTCCGTCTGGGCTGCTGGTTGTATTCATGGGGCTTGGACCTCTCGATGCAGCAGGACAGCGTCTGGAAATAGCCCGGACCCATGGACAGGGTCTGCCCTTACCCCATCCCTGGATTTTGATTGGGATTTGGGTAAACCCTGGACCTGTTTTCTCACCTGAGGGGGCAGTTAGTGAATTTGTGGGAACTTGAGAAATTGTAGAGCTTTGTATGCACGTACAGGGTAACTACTGTCTATTCTTTCAGACAGTGTAGATTTCTTTCAGGCCTGGAGGGTGGTACTTGTTTGAAAAATCTGGAGCCATGTGATTGTCATGCTGGGATTGACTGCCTGGGAGAAACCAGGGAACAGGACCCCATCGTGGCTAGAGCGATAGCAGAGGAACTCAGCTTTCTTATCTGGGCACTAAACTGGGCTGGAAAGAGACCAGTAGGGTCATTTAGTCTGTTCTCCTGCTTCTACTGAGGACCGCCTCTTAGCCATTCTGGGCAGCGGGTTCTATTTGGGTTGCCAGCCCTCTGGGAAAATGGATTTTTCTCTCTGTAAGCCAGGCTAACAAGTTCCATCATCGAAGGTGTTCTTCTGCCTCCCCTGAGTCCCTCCTGCTTTCATCTGCTTCCCTGTCCGCCTGGCCCTGAAGGCTGGTGCTTAGGCTCCTTTTCATTTTGTTCTGGGCCCATGTTTGAGGCCGGGTAGGGGTTATGGTCCCCTCCAGACGCTCTCTCAGGTCTGCATTCCCCTCAGTCAGAGACTGAGTGTTGTGTCGATGTGGGAGGGGCGGGGAAGGAAGGTCTCCTAGCCTCACAGTGAGGGACAGGCAGGCGACTTCACCGGGGGTGGGACAGCGGACTCCTCGGGGCACTTTTGGAATGTTCTGCGCGTAGGTGTAGGGTGTGGTCACTTCACATCACT